GAGACCCCGGCCAGTCGGCTCCGGAGAGCGGCCACCCCGGCCCAGGCCGCGATGGCGGGGAAGGCAGCCGTCCCGGGCACCGCGGTGCTGCTGGTGACGGCCAACGTGGGCTCGCTCTTCGACGACGTAAGTGCGGCGCCGGACGCGGCACCCTGGACCCCGGACCCTGAGCCCCGGGACCCCGGACCCCTGTCCTGAAGCCCGAAATCCCGGGACCCAGACACTGACCCCAGAGCCCCGGGACCCCGGACTCGGGCCTGAAGCCTGGGACCCTGGGACCCTGGGACCCAGACACTCAGACACTGAGTCCTGAGCCCTGGGACCCTGGAACCGAGACACTGAAACTTGAGCCCTGGACCCAGGACCCCAGCCCTGAACGCTGGCCCTGGGCGCTGGAATCCTGGTCTCCTGGTCCAGCCTTCACACTTCATAGGTTGAACCCGGCACCCAGTCCCTGAACCCAGGTCCCTAAACACCAGTCCTAATCCCTGTCCAAGGTCCCCAAATCCTGGCCCCCGAGCCCTAGTCCGAGGGCCCCATACCCTGAACCTGGTCCCAACCCTGGTACTGAATTTTGTCCCCAGAAGCTCAGCCCTGAATCCTGGTTCCCAAACCGTAGCCCGTGTCTCCCGAGCCCCAACCCCTGACTTCTGGCCTCGGACTCCCGACCCGACCCTCCGTGGCCCTTGCCCCTTCCCGTCTGCTGCTTTGTCTGCAGAGCTGTCTGCGGCTGCTCGGAGGTGTAGGCACCCTCACTTTACCTTGTAACTTAGTATCTCTGTAGTTCTCAAACACGGGGTTTCTGTTGAAAGCCCTGGAGGACTTTATGTTTCTTGTCTGTTAAAGGGAAAGATGCAAGAAGCTTTTCAAGGCCAGCTTTTCAAGGATGCTGACTGCTCAAGGCCTTTGCCTTCTGGGGCCTCCCAGCCAGGCACCCGGGGCCTTAGGGAGAAGGGTCTGCCAAGGCCCGGCGCTCCCCTGGCTCCCGAAGCGGGCGGAGGCTGGCCCAGTTCGGCGCTGCAGCCACGGTGCCACCCCGCTATTGGTACTTATACTGCCAACCCAAATAAAGCAGAATGTGGCTCCAAGTGGCGTGCTTGTTTAAGAAAAAAGGGTGATGGCCCAGATGGAGCCTGAGGCGGCCTCGCACTACCCGCCCCCCTCCTCCCCCAGCTCCTCCCACGGTGAGGGTGCGGCCACTGAGCACGCAGACCACTGGTGCAAGCGTGACTTGCATCCCTGCCTCTTTCGAGCCTCCCTTTGCTGGCAGCGAGCATGGGTGAGATGTGTCTGTAGGCTAAGTTCATGTACAGGCGAGGTGTGATTTTATTAATCAAAGGTAGGCGCTATTTTTGTGTTTCTCTTATTTTAACTTCCAAGCGCTCTGTATTATAGTTCCCTGCTGGGGAGGAGCTGCTGGCCCTCTGACTTGGGCACAGACGGGACAACTTTATCTAGTTTCGTGATTGATCATTTTCTACAAAAGTGCCCGGTATGGGTGTGTGTCTGTATATTTAGCATTCTATTCTCGGCTTTGCAGTAACATCCACGCTAACATGGCTTTACTCAGATGATTCAGATCCGTTAGCTGTGGCTTCAAAGCCTCAGAAATGTCAGGAAAATTAAGCATGGTGGGGGCATTTCAGTCTCAAAGGGAGAAGAATTTTGCTGTGCAAACATCCTTTCCAGTAATCTTTGATTCCAAGTGACAGCATTTTTGTTGTGTTCCGACTGTATACACACACTTCTCTCTGTGGACATTAAAGTGGATCACTTAATTTACTTTTGTTTAGCAACAGGTTCTCTCTGAGTTTTCATTTTTCTTAAAGGCTGTATGGAGTTTTGCATCTTGTTTGTATCAGGAAGGAACCTTTGTTTTGGTAAGCAGTGCGTGGGTTAATTCTGCAAGGTGGCTTCTGACTTAAGGGCCAGTAGAGACATATCCGTCCTCACCCACAGCTTTCTTAATGTGTGCAGCTTGCTCTGGGGCTGCTCTTCCCCAGTGGCCTGGAAAAGCAGGAGTGGGTGTTAACCAGTCCCCTGTAGCATGGCCAGTGAGAGCAGCCGATTCTTGAGTGAAGGACACTTTAACTCCTTGGTTTATAGTAGGTTCCAGAAGAGCTGCTTGGCGACTCTGTCTTTGTGTGACATGTGCCCCTGTTGACCCACTGTTTAGACGGTGGCCCGGCCTGGGCAGGGATTTGTTCTTGCCCAGTGTCATCGTCTGGAAACCAAGCTCCACTGTGTGGCCAGGCCTCACAGTGTGTGGCATCGGCCTCTTCCTGGAGGGTGTGGGCCGAGGAGGAGGGGTCTGAGTTAGAAACAGGCCCTGCTGGGAAGGGCGGGCGCTGTTGCGTTTTGACTCAAGGGACGGGGGACGTGTATCTGCTTCTGTAGTTTCGTGGCCTCCCCCCGCTACCTCTTCGCCATCCAGAGGCGATCCCGTTAAAGCTCTGGATGTGGACTTTCACCATGGTTTGGCCCTGACGTCCTGAGACCCACAGGGTGTCTCGTCGGGCAGGCAGCTCTTTCCCCGTCTGCCCGCCCGGCTTGGTTGCGTCTGGGACAGTGCGGCTACTTTAGTCCCCACACAGGGCCCTCGGGTTGCTCCTCACCCTGTGATGTGACACACGAGGGGGTGGTCACCGTCCAGAGTACATTGGTTCTCAAACTTTTACCCCTTACACCCTTAGAAATTATGGAGAGCCCCACAGAGTCCTTGGTCTCGTCGGTCATAACCACCAGTGTCTGCCAGGTCAGTGGGTAGACCCTGAGGCAAGTGGAAACTGAGACAGTTTCAGTAGCTCTCAGAAGGGTGATGTCATTGCATGTCACAGCCCCGGAAAGCTCCGCCGTTCGTGCTTGAGACAGTGGGATGGAAAGCGAGCCACGGTGCTGCACTGTTGAGGGCATAGCCGTGACCTGCTGAAGCCCTGACCTCCAGGGCCCCAGTCTGACCTGGGGCCCATCCTGAGCCTGCGGGGAGGGGCCTGGCCTGGCTGGGCTGCCTGGGCCTTTTCCAGGGGGCCCCCAGAGAGCCCGGAGCTCTTTCTGGCAGTCCCTAGTCGGACTGTGCTGTCACCCCCTACCCCGTTGCTGGCAAGGGGTGGCTAGGGTTGCACACCTAATTGCTTTGCTTGAGATGGCTGGATTTTTGACACGGGAGGTTTCTAGGTTTTGGTTCTTTACGTGGTTTTGTTGTCGTTGTTGTTTTGCTAGAAGTGAACTGAGAAGGTGGATTCTTGCAGGCTGTCGTTTCAGAACTCAGTCCCACCCTTACATGGTAAGACTGTTTCTTGGGAAAGAGACGTAGCCAAGCGATAGGATTCTGAGAGCACAGCTCGCTCTTGGGTGTCTGCCTGGAGGGCCGTTGTCCTGCTGCGTGTTCGGAGCTAAACGTCAGTTTGGAGCTGGTTCCCTTTTTGCCGCGCCAGCTCCTGAGCAGCCCCTCTTTGCGCCTGGACCTGGGGACGGCAGCTTGCTGCGCATGTGGCTCTGTGTCGGGGGTCCGAGAGCCCCTCCCCTGAGCTGGGCACCTCGGGCACTTGTCCTCTGTCTCCCCCGCCCCAGCCCCGTGTGTGTGTAGGGCCTCCCCCCTCCATCCCGGGGTGCGGGGGGCCCGCTGGGGCCTCATGCGGGGCCAGCCTCGGGTCCGGGCCTTCTCACTTGCTCTAATGGTGTGGATCCCTCCACTTCTTTGAGGAATTTCGTTTGGTGACGGCTTCACTGAGACGTCACTCACACGCATGGACTTCACCGTGTAAAGTGTACGACTCAGTGGTTTTTAGTGTGTTCACAGAGCTGTGCTACTCTCACCGCAGGCAGTTGTACAATTTGTTTTGTACCTGAAAAAGAAACTCCGTATGCCATAGCCGCACCCCCCCAGTTCCCTCCGTCTCCCCTGAAACCCCCACAGCCCCTGATAATCACGAGTCTGCTTCCTGTCTGTGCATCTGCCTGTCCTGGATGTTTCACGTAAGCGGAATCATGCACGCGGCCTTCTGCATCTGGTACCGTGTTTGCAGAGCTCAGCACGTCACTCCTGTTGGTGGCTGAGCACCGTTCCACTGTATTGTTTATCCAGCGCCAGGTGATGAGTATTTGGGCAGCCTGCACCTCTGGGCTGCCGTGAACATTTACTTACAAGTCTTCGTGTGGACGTGTTTTGCTTCTCCTGGGCACATTCCTGGGGTGGGGACTGCTGAGTCTGCGGTGACTCGTGTTTAACCTCTTGAGGAACTGCCCGCTGTTTCCCCGTGTCGCCCCGTCCTGTGTTCCCACCAGCGGCGCACGAGGGTTCCGATTCCTCCACGTGCTCCAGTGCCAGGTGTTATCTGTCTTTTCTCGAAGACTTGCATTGGGCCCCCCACCTCCCGGCCTCCTGGGGAGTTAGTTTCTCTAGACGCAGGTCTTTCATTAGCATCTCTGTGTGGATGCCCGGGCGGCAGGGAGGAGACCCAGACCCAGTGAGGACCGCCTCCCTCCTCCTGCCTTTGCCTGGGAAGGTCCAGCACTTTCGGCCAGTGCCATGAAGCAGGGGCCGGTTCTCGTCAAAGACGTTGGGTTTTCCGAATTTCGAATTTAGAATTTCGGGGGCCGAGGTTCCTCTGCTGTCCATGCAGCCCCTGAAGCCCCCAAGGGCTCCGCTGTGCTGGGGCAGGGGTGGGGCTGAGCAGGCCAGGCCTCTTTGCAGGCCCCCTTCCGGGATCTCCCGGCCCCTGTCCCGTGGGGATGGCCGCGGGGAGGTGTCTCCACATTCTTCTGGCATTACCGCCTCTGACCTGAGACCTCAGTGCCCTTTCTCTGTGGGAATTTGGTCTGTTTGCCCGAGTTGGGGGCTCTCCGTAGCTGGGGGCCTGCCCGTCCCGTCCGCAGGGTGGTGGGGTCAGAGGCGTCGGTGGGCTTATACTGGTGGCGTTTCAGACCTGCTTCCTCCACGCTGGGAAGCCGTGCCTGCACCCTGCGCGCCTCCATGCAGCCCTGACGAGCTCCTGTCAGGCCTGCCTTGGATGCGGCTGGAATTTAGACTGACGTGCGGTCATCCGTCTGGGGCCATGCCTGCCTCCTGGTCCCTCCTGCCCTCGTCCCCGATCTCTGCCGGCCCTGGGTCAGCCGCGAGAGCGCAC